AATTTGGCCTCAAACAATTACTTTCTCTTCATTCATTTAGTTAGTCGACAAACATCTGTGGATACACAGCACAGCATCCAGCGTGTGACCTAAGCCAACTCAACATTTCCTCGCTGATCTTCATTATAATTCTGAAAATATGTGATAGTAAAGGGAAATGGGTCCTTCACTCCTTGCACATATTTCATTCAGAAATCGAGTGTTTTGGTAGGAATGTTCTGGCTTATCACTGTGCCTTTCACTGAACACAGACAGCTTGACCTCATGTTTAACACACGTATAAAAATGTGTATCTCGAGGGGCCCTCCCTGGTGGCACAGCAGGTTAAAGCACAGCACTAAGAAGCTAAAGCTACTTCAGCACAAATTCGATCCCTGGCCAGGGAGCTGACCCACTCGGCGGAGCAGACCTCTTCTGTCTTGCCTGCTGCTCCCCTCAGCAGTGTATCTCAGTCTATCTGCCTGTTTTGCTCCCCACTCTGTCTCTGGTGAATCCTCTCACCCCCCATACCTCTGGCTTGTACCCCAGTTCTATAAGCATAAATAAAATAAATCTTTAAAAAAAGTGTGTATCTTGACAAGTGTGTAGTCAAGATACACAGTTTTTTAAAGATTTATTTTTCTCCCTAGAACTTCCGTTTTGATTTGACTTCCTTTCTGGATTAGCCCCTCACTTAAGGCTTGAACAGTTCACTCTAATGTGGATTTTCACATGTGGGCGTATAAATGTCTTTCCTTTGAAGAATAGTAAAAACAGTCAACTGCTTTTACAGCTTTTTCCATGCTGTTGTTGAGCAATGATGTTTTTTGGCCCTGGTTTAGGACAGAGCTATTCCGAAAGGCAGCTTATCTTAAGTAACAGTTTTTGTGTTAACTGAGCCAGCAATGAGGTTCTTTTTTTTTTTTAATATTATTATTACAAAAGTTTATATTTTTATACATCATTTTGCACTTTTTTTTTCCATCTCGATTGTAATCCTTGCGGGTTTCCCATCACCAAATCACCCGTCTGCCACCACCATAATCCTGTGTATTTCCCTCCCCCCCCCTTCAGCAATGAGGTTCTTTTATTTAGCATTTTTTGGGGGGAGAGGTTAGTGGGGAATAAGCCTGGAGAAGGCAAGAACTGGTTTATCTTGATCCTTGTTGCAGCTTGGAGCATCTAGCTCAGAGAATTCATCAAAGATGATGAATGGCTCAGGAAACAAAGGATATGAGTCCTTTCTTAGGGACTTCAAGTTCTACGCTAAGGTCTGTGTCCTCTCTCTGATGACAGACTTCAGGCATGGGCAGGCCACTTGGCAGATTCCCTGCCTCTGTTGCTGGGTTGCAAGCCACATCCTTTTCTGGACAAGCAGAGGTGGTAGCACAAGTGGAAAATGGCAGGATCGCCGAACAGACATACATAGAGTCCATCAAAACCCCCCAAACGCCCCCTTCTGTAACAGGGGGGTCCCTAGGAAAAGGGGAAGTTCCAGGTTTCCTGCCCCACCCAGAAGGAGAGTGCAGCTGAGCAGAGAAAAAGGGAAGAAGAGAAGGAATCAGAAAAGAAGAAGAGAAGGAAGCTGGATGGAGAACAAGGAGACCTGAGGGAGCCACATGGGGCAGCAAGCGTGTGAGGAAGAAGCCGGGCTTGTTTCCCGGCCCTGGACTGGCGAAGGCAGATGTGGGCGAGAGACCGTGGGGAGGTAACTATGGCGGTGTTTATATTGATTTTGATGTGGCTCTTTTCCTCCCAGACTTGTCTGGCCGTTTCTGACCCTTTTCTGCGAAGGGTTTTCAGGCCTTGCTCTGGGCCAATCCCTTTTGGGTGGACTTTTGCCCACGAGGGGATGGGTCGCTTCAGGTGCTTTGACTTAGAAGTTATATTCTTTGTGTTCTGTATTGTATATTTACTGTATTAAAGTCCCTTTTCATTAAAGTTTTATATGTTTTGTCTTGACGTGGCGGATGGCAGAGCCCACTTAGAGCAGGCAGGTTTGGGGCTTCAGGGGTGCCCCTCTCTCCCTGTCCTGGAACACTTCCAAGGCATTGAAATATATTGCGGCCCTACTGAGTGTCAGACACAGCCCGCAGGCCTGTGAAGCCAAAGCCAGTGTGAAAGCAACACTTGGAAATGTCTGATACTTCCTCTGTGTGGAGACTTGTCCTTGCTCCAGGGAACATCACCTCCATAGGGCTGAAAACGCCTCTGTGTCTGTGGTAGGTGGAGAAAGATCCTCAATTAGAAACCCAAATACAAGGTATTAACAAGAGAGCTTTAACACCTATAGTCACGCTTGGAGTTACAAGGTGTTAATGAGCAAGATAAATCAAGGAATTCACCTCCCACCCCCTAGCTGCCTGGGTTCACTGTTGCTGCAGAATAATTGAAACCTCAAGTTGTGAACCTCTGAATCAGGAGGGTTTCCTGTAAGGTGAATGATGTCACCTTATAAGGTGAGAAGCTTTCAGAGAAATGCAGAACATTCAGGGTAATGTGTTTGCAGCAAGCAGAATGCTGGATTTACTACAGAGTGTGAGTTGACCAAAATGGAGAATGATGAGAAGAAGCTAAATTATGTATGACAGTCTTAACAGAGCAGAGGAAGGAAGAAAGCTTAATGATGTGGTTGAAGGGCCAGCAGCCATTGGTGATGTATTGGCCAGAGGGTGGTAGGAAGAGAAATGGACCTATGAAGACTAAGACTATGAGTGTGACAAAGACCATGTGTGGGGGGGGAGGGTTGAGCACATCATAAATATTAGTGGCAACAAGACAGTGCAGTAAAGTTAACATGACGTTAAAAATCATCACTTTAATCTCTGTTAGCTCTTTCAAGCCTGAACCTTATCAAGGGGGAAAAAAAACCCCACGGTTAACAATGAAGTATTCTCCCTTTGCCTTCCCGGCATCCACCATAGCAGTACATAATTTAATTACTGAATCTACAGGCCGGACCAGGGAGACAAGAATGATGTGTCTGCTGTTCTGAGAGATGAGGCAGGGCCAACTGTTCATCCTCATCATTCTTCCTCCCTTAAGCTAAATGAATATAGTTAACCAGCTTTTGTTTGGATTTAGCTGCTGAGATCTGGGATGTGCGAATCAGAAGTCAGACGATCACAGCAGCTATTATTTATGGGCCGCTGGCTGGCTGAGTGCACAGGTGGGCCCCCAAGGGGTTCTGTGGTCCTTTCTGTGCAGCAACTAACGTTCCCTGGACTCCAGCTACACACCTGAGAACAATGACGTTCAAGAAATTCACTTAGTTCCTTGGGGTACACAGGACTTCAGAAATGCCACGGGTGTTCTTCCTTACTGAGCCCTATTGATGGTTGGAGCGCCGGTAACAACGGAAAGTGGCGGCACGTGGTTACCGAGCCCCAGCGGTGTGTGGGTGCCTGTCTCGCACACCCCGGGCGCCCACACACATTTTGCTAGAAGCTGGAAGTCATGCAAAGCGCAAATGCAAATGGAGCCACGAAGCATTTGTGCCTCGAGGCACTGGGTCCCCGCGGGCCTCAGTCCAGGGCCTCCCCACAAACGCGCCGCAACGGAACCGTGACTCCGCTCCTCTCCCGGCTTCCAGGCGCTTTCCGCCTCACTGCGCCCCTGCGGGCCGCCGGGTCTTCACTCAGAGGCGGCATTTACCGCTAAAGGGTCACAGCGAGCGCAGTCAGGGG